TATATATATATATATATATATATATATATATATATATATATATATATATATATATATATATATATATATATATATATATATATATATATATATATATATATATATATATATATATATATATATATATATATATATATATATATATATATATATATATATATATATATATATATATATATATATATATATATATATATATATATATATATATATATATATATATATATATATATATATATATATATATATATATATATATATATATATATATATATATATATATATATATATATATATATATATATATATATATATATATATATATATATATATATATATATATATATATATATATATATATATATATATATATATATATATATATATATATATATATATATATATATATATATATATATATATATATATATATATATATATATATATATATATATATATATATATATATATATATATATATATATATATATATATATATATATATATATATATATATATATATATATATATATATATATATATATATATATATATATATATATATATATATATATATATATATATATATATATATATATATATATATATATATATATATATATTTATATTTATTTATTTATATTTATTTATATTTATTTATTTATATTTATTTATATTTATTAATATTTATTTATATATATATATATATATATATATTTTTTTTTTTTTTTTTTTTTATATTTATTTATTTATTTATATTTATATAAGCTCTTCTAACAGTAAACATTGAAATAATGAAACAGCAAACAACATCAGTAAAACATGTCTGATAAAACAGCTTGTTTTAATATGACATTTAATTCCATTCTGCATTGTATGGCGATTTGTAATTGTGTTCATGGTGCAACAGTTTAGGTGAATAAAGAACAGAGAAATGCAGCATTACTTAAACTAAACTTTCGCTTCAAAACAGCAGCGCGTACAGCTGATCCCGATATGATATTATAATATTGCTGGATTTACATTCGATTCTGTGTGTGTGTGTGTGTGTGTGTGTGTGTGTGTGTGTGTGTGTGTGTGTGTGTGTGTGTGTGTGTGTGTGTGTGTGTGTGTGTGCGTGAGTGAGTGAGAGAGGTAGAGAGAGCGCGCGCGAGAGTGTGTGTGTTATAGCGGTAGGCGGAGTTTCACTCTCACACTAAATATTCAAAATGGCGGACAGAGGATCAACGACTCAAGATGAGCGCTCGACTGCAGGTAATTATTACATTTTACATATTCATATTCCACATCCGCCTCGAGTAAACAAGAGAAACACGCGGTGACGGTGTGCGGAGACAGAAGCGCTGAGTGGCGGAGGATCCTCCTGAATCCCCTGATGAGAGTCTTGATGGGCAGATCAGAGTTGTTTGTCCTGAACTAAACTCTTCATTTGAAATGGCGCGCGCGTGTTTTCGGGGTTACCGAGCCGCGGGTCCGCGAACCGGGAAAACACTCGCCGTGCCGTTTCTCTGCTCTCGGTGCTTCTTGTAAAGTGTGTGTGTGTCTGTGTGTAAACATTAGCGTGTGTGAACGTGAGTTAGCAGCGGTGCTACAGCGCGCTTTGTGCCGTTCGGCCGCGAGAGACTCAGCGGCCGCTTATTTGCATATTCATATGTTTGTTCAGCAGTTTATGCGCACGCGTGAGGCCAATAATAATAATGATGATGATGATGATGATGATGATGATGATGATGGTTCACTTTTATATGAGAGGAGATGAAGACAAGAGTTAAACTCAAGCCGAAGCTTCTGCTCTCAGGGTTGACTGTTTGCCCTCAGGGCAACCTAAATACCCCGACTGGGGCTGTGTGTGTGTGTGTGTGTGTGTGTGTGTGACTCTGGAAAGTTTCTCGTGCTCGGGCGCGTCTCGTGTTGACGGTGTGGCATCAGCAGCTGTGCAGGAGCTGCATTAAACTGTCGGAGTGAGGTCTGGGATTTGCATAAGATCAGCGCTGCTCTTGCCGCTCATTCCTCTGCATAATTAAAGCGGCAGCTTCATTCCAATGAGAGGCGCGTCACACTATTTATTTATCGCGCGGATTAAATATACAGAGCTGCTCATGAATATTCATGAGTACAAACGCCATGTTCATGAATGATTAATTTCTCGCCGGTGTGATTGTGCTGGGCTCTGTGGAGGATTTCACCGTGTTCTCGCGTGTCTCTCCGGAGCTCTGCATCTGCGCTTGTGCGGTCAGATCTCTGTAGTCCGGCTCTGATATCCGCGCAGGATGATTTAACCCAGTTCTGCAGACCGTCGCGCTTTGATACGCTGCAGACTCCACCGCCTCCGGCTCACAACCTGCTGGACCGCATCACTGCTCAGAACATCAGGAAAACTACACGCTTTCACATATTTGCTCTCTGTTTTTAACCCCTGATTACACTAAACTTGTGTTCATAACATATACTTGCTGACAACTGCTATAAACCTGTGAACGGTGTATAAGCTGCTCAATAAGTAATTTCCCAACTTTACTCATAGTCATAAACAGTCTGCTAATCAGCAGTTAATTATAATAAAGTTCAACAAATGAACATTTAAACATATACCTAATCTAGCTTTTACAGCCATTTTGATAGAAGTATGCTGTTTTTACTTGGGGAATTTCAGCAATAATATTAACTGACTGTATTTGTTAGACATCCCTTTTAAATATCAATTTGGTTAATGTCTGGCATTTTCCCGTTTCCTCTGATCACTTCCAGGTGGATGACAGTAAATAAACTATAAAAGACTCCATATGAACACCATGCATTCTTTTTCGTGTTGGACCCTTTATTAATCCGGGGTCACCACAGAGCAGGGGTCACCAATCTCGGTCCTGGAGGGCCGGTGTCCTGCAGAGTTTAGCTCCAACTTGCCTCAACGCTCCTGCCTGGATGTTTCTAGTACACCCAGTAAGAGCTTGATTAGCTGTTCAGGTGTGTTTGATTAGGGTTGGAGCTAAGATCTGTAAGACACCGACAAGTTTGGTGACCCCTGCCACAGAGGAATGAACCGCCAACTTATCCAGCATATGTTTTACACAGAGGATGCCCTTCCAGCTGCAACCCATCTCTGGGAAACATCCATACACACCCATTCACACTCATACACTAACCAGTTCCCCTATAGCGCATGTGTTTGGACTGTGAGGGGAAACCCACGCCAACACGGGGAGAACATGCAAACTCCACAGAAGCACCAACTGACCCAGCTTAGACTTGAACCAGTGACCTTCTTGCTGTGACCCACTGCGCCACCATGCTGCCAGATGAGTACTGTTGATGATGTAAAACTAACTCAGAGCACTGTAAACAAACACTCACACTATGGTATTTTAACACCAGTAGATATGGGAGATGAACACTGTAAAATGTTGGTTAATAAATATGCGACTGTAAATGAGCCCTGCAGATGACAGTAAATTACAGCTCTAATAAGAGCAGAGTAAATGAACACGGTAAACGACAGCAGGTAAACACTGCAGCGCGCGGCGTCTGTACCTGAGGCTGTGTGAGCTCCATCTACTGCGCGTGTATGAGAGCAGAGTTCTGAACAGTGTTATTATTACTGTGGCAGAATCAGAGCGCATGATTGGCAAACACAGGATGATGGGTTAATTAAAGCTGATGAATATTAATGAGTTCTCCAAGTCTAATAGAAAAGTTTAGACTGGCTTCAAATCTTTCTGTTCCATGAATACTTCATTTCTCCTGCGCCTCATGCCACTTATCTGCTGTAAATTATGCAGCGCCGCGTTCAATAGTTTGAAAGGCTAATTAATTGCTTATTTAAAATTCTATTAATTAAAACATTTGCATAATGCATTGTGTGTGAGTTAGCTTACTGGAGCCCTGGCAGTGGCCGTATGCAAATCAGCTGTTTTATTTTAAGTGTCAGACATGCGTCTTTTCGCCTGTATCTCTCTCTCTCTCTCTCTCTCGCTCTCTCTCTCGCTCTCTCTCTGCTGTGATCTGCGAGTTTACATCTTGCTTGTTTATAGCACTGAATAAAGTTGAACAATGCACACTTTTATCCTCACAATTGGAAGTAAATGAACAAAACAAACAATGTAAATGACTGAAAATAAACAAAGTTAATGACTGAAAATGAGCACTAAATAAAAGTAAACTAGCGCTGTAAATGAACAATAAAAATGCTGGTAATTGATGGTAAATGCACACCATAAGTGACTGTAAATGAGCAAGATGAATTATGTTAAATGAGTAACGTAAATGAACAATAAGTGAGTAAATAAACTGCATAAATGATCAACAGTGTGACTGGTGGTAATTGATGGTAAATGAACACTGACTTAACAAACAACGTAAATGAACACCAAGTGATTAAATGAACAACATAAATGATGGTAACTGATGGTAAATAAACACCGTAAGTGACTGTAAACGAGGAACATAAATTATAGTAAATGAACAACATAAATGAACACTTAGTGACTGAATAAACAACGTAATTATGGTAAATGAAAAACATAAATGGTGGTAATTGATTGTAAATGAACTCCAGGTGATTAAATTAACAACGTGAACCTTGAATGAACACTGTAAATGAGCAATGTAAATAAATACTGACTAAAAAACAATATAAATTAAAGCTAAGTGACTAAATGAACAACGTAAATGAACAACTTGAATGAACACTGACTAATTAACCAATGTAAATGATGGAAAATGAACAACCTAAATGGTAGTTATTGATGGTAAATAAACATTGTGACTGTAAATTAACCATGTAAATGATGGAAAATGAACCTAAATGGTGTCTATAAATAATAAATGTAAATGATGCTAAATAAACAATGTAAATGATTGTAAATTAACAACGTAAAAGGTGGTAATTGATGGTAAATAAACACTGTAAGGGATTTTAATTAAGCAATGTAAATTGTGGTAAATGAACAACGTAAATAAACACTGACTAATTGAACAATGTAAATGATGGAAAATGAACAACCTAAATGCTGGTAATTGATGGTAAATTAACACCGTTACTGTAAATTAACAATGTAAATGATGGTAAATGAACCTAAACGCTGATAATTGATGGTAAATAAACACGGTGACTGTAAATGAGCAACATAAATGAACAAGATGACTGTAAATGAACAATGTTAACGAAGGTAAATGAACAATGTAAACGAATTCTGACTAAAGAACAATGTAAATGAACGCTAAGTGACTAAATGAACATCGTAAATGCTGGTAATTGATGGTAAATTAACACCGTGACTGTAAATCAGCTATGTAAATGACGGGTAAATGAACACACTAAATGTACGTAGCTTGCTTGTTTCCAGCATGGAATGAGAGTTGACTAATGCACGCTTTCGTTATCGCACTTGTCGGTGTATAGCTCACTTTTCTTTCTGTGTAATTCTGAGCACAGCTCTCGCCGTTTATTTTCATACAACCAAAACATAAAGCCCGTTTCTGTTGTGTCAGAAAACTAAATCAGGCTGAGCTTTACTCTTACAGTTCTCAGTTTATATTTCGCAATTGCAAGAAAAATTCATTTAAATTGACCAAAGAGAGTTCGTTTCTCTTCATCGCTGTCAGAAAACTGTGAAGTTGCTGCGTTATTTTAGCGTGCTAACCGTTTTTCACTGTTGTTTTTATAGTTGCTGTTTTTAACGTAAACGTAGCGTGATACTGAGCTCAATCCGTCACACCACAATCTGAGATGTTGATTAAAGATTACCAGGAAAGAGGATTAATAGTTCTGCTCTGGAACAGCAGCGTGAGCTAACGAAGCGCGTCAGTGTGTCTCGTCAGCGTGTGTTGGAGCTTATCCTGCGGTATGTTCCGTGTTTACGGCTTTAAGTAAAGTTATTAGTCTTGCAGTTTGTTCGTCTGGATGTTGTGTGAATGTGCGACTCTCAGATGATTAGCGATCGCGGTCATTAGCCGACACATTCTTTCATCGTAGCCGTCACTCCTGTTGCATGCTGGGAATGCACCCCCCCAACACACACACACACACACACACACACCCCAGTAATTAAAACAGTCACAGTCGGCTGGTAATTGGCCTTGTCTCACTTCTCCCTGGCTGTTGTGCTCGCCTCTCCTCCATCCTAAAAGCTATCCAATTAATATGCTAATGAGCTGATAAATATTTATGAACGTGTTGAATTATGCAGAAAGCTTTCAGAGGTCTGTGTGAAATGAATCGCTCGCAGAACTTCAAAGCGGCGCTCTTCTAATGAGCGACGGGGTGCCAGATTTGCATACGGCTTTAATCAGCTGCATACTGATTAACTCTCATTATGGATGCTGCGCTCCAGCTGTAGTCTTTGTGTTTCGCTCCGCGCCCGATAAACACGCTCGCTGACGCCGGAGCCGCTGCAGTCTGGAGGTAAGCGGTGGCGTTAGCGGTGTGCGCTCGGTTCAGGCGTCAGCAGGACAGGTTTGGGTCGAGCTGATGGACACAGGTGAGTTCATAATTTGGATATTCATGAGCAGCGGCGCGGTGCTGATGCTGCAGCTGATATTGTGTGTTTACCTGATTCACGGTCAGGTTCATCTGTAAAGCGCCTCTTAACTGAATCTGTGTGAAACTGATCTGTCTTCATGTGTTCTGGACAGATTCCAGCGGCTGTCCTGCAGATCTGAGTAAAAACACTATGGAGAGCGCAGCGCAAGGTGGAACATGCTTTTCAGGACACACATTAGAACTACAATCAAATCAGACATTCGTTTTTGATATTATTAATGAGTTTTTTTGTTAATTTAATGCAATTAATAAGAGTTTTTGACATCATTGAGTGTTTTTCTTAATGTTTTGTCATTAACGAGCATTTTTGATGTCATTATTGTGTGTTTTTGATAAGTTGAGGTCATTTAATAAGTGTTTTTGATATCATTTATGACTGTTTTTGCTAATGTTCTGTCATTAATGATTGTTTTGATGTCATTATTGAGTGTTTTTAATAATTTGACTTCATTAACGAGTGTTTTCTCCTGTGTGTGCACAGCTCAGACTAACGGTGTGGACGCACAGAAACCCAGTGCAGGTGCAGCATCAGGTGCGGTCGGAGGTGTGCAGGCGCTGCTCCCACAGGTACGTGCTCCATCGCCACAGCGTTTCCATGGCAACATGCAGACGCCGCAGCCTCGCAAAGTTCAGATCTTAATTAAACAGCGCTCCTGTCGCTCGGAAACAGGTGGAGGAGAATATGCAAATCTATGCGGAGTTTATATGCGCTGCATAATGAGGTTTGACTTAACGAGAGGAGCGCTCCAGCTCCAGCTCCAGCTCCTCCCCGCCCGCACAGTTACAGTGAGATCCAGCTGTGCGCCGCTTTAGCCTGCGATGCGCTTCCGCACGCTGCAGTCATGCACACAGAGATGCACAGTTCAGGATTAAACGTGTGGAAAGCTTCTCTGTAGAAAACAGAAAGCACCGGGGTTCTCAGATTTCCCAGAATGCATTGGTTTCCTCAGGGTCATAGTGAGATGCTGTTTGAGGTGTTGTTGAACCGGTATACACTCTAGTGTTGAGTTACTCATAGACAAACACATTTACTGAAGGATTTTCAGTTTAGTTTAAATGACACTTTTACACATTTAACATTGATTTATGATAACCCAGATGAGTATTTTCAGAAGTTGTACTTGTGTATTATACTGTATCTGTTACAGAGTCTAGCACCGCTGATGAACGCTCCAGCATACTGTATATTCGCTGTAGTCCGCTGATGAATGCTCCAGCATACTGTATATTCGCTGTAGTCCGCTGATGATCGCTCCAGCATACTGTATATTCGCTGTAGTCCGCTGATGCTGTAGTATGCTGTAGTGTCTGCTGCAGTGCACTGTGGTGTGTTGGTATTGGCTCGTGTGTTTATATGACTGTAGATATGTGATCATAGTAAGTGTAGAATCCACATTAATTTAACTACTTTACTGTATTACAGCTCAAAAACACTATTAAAATGTCAAAACACTGCAGACGAGCATGCAGCCGTATCTGTTATAGCAGTCAAACCTTTGATATTTGATTGATTAATTAGTGAAGTTTATTTATACACTAATGTGGAGAGGATCACGTGCTTATGATTGATCACAGCCGGTCCTGCATTATTCAATTCCTAATTGACCAATCAGACGATTCCTAAGCCACTATAAATACCCTCAGCTCCTTATCACAGCCATCTTCATTTTGAAGAATCCCCCCTCCACCCCAGCTCCTCCTCCTTTCCCAGATGAGTGGCACGGTGGCTCAGTGGTTAGCACTGTTGCCTCACAGCAAGAACATCTCTGGTTCTAGTCCTTACCAAGCCAGCTGACGTTTCTGTGTGGAGTTTACACGTTCTCCCCGTGCTCACGTGGGTTTCCCCTGGGTTCCCCCGGTTTCCTCCCACCGTCCAAAAACATGCAGCTTAAGTTAATAGCCTAATCCAAATCAGCACATAGACATGCTGCTAGTCAGTAGTTTTCTCTTAAGAGCGATCACTATCTGTTCATCTGCTACTACAGCAGGTGAGTTCTCCAGATCTACCTGAGCTCAAACTCCCCTCTCGCCTTGCAAATAGGAGGGAGCCCTGAGCTCGAGGATCTCCCGGGACAGCATGCCAAACACGCTTTATAATCAATCATCAGCTGAGGGCGAACTCTAGAAATGATATTGAAAATGTTCAAAGGCGACACTTATTTGATCAACTCATGAAGATCGTAATTCAGCCAAGATGAAGAAGAAACGTGAAGAGAGACGTCCAGTCTGATTAATCAGCTTATTGTGTTATGATGCTTATTACTGTTGTGTAATTCTTCATTGTGTGTGTGTGTGTGTGTGTGTGTGTGTGTGTGTAGCTGAACTTGACTCCAGCGCAGCTGTTGCAGACGCAGCTCCTGGCCGCGGTGCAGCAGTCGGCAGGCCAGCAGAGCAGCACCACTGGAGCCAGTATCTCCGCCTCCGCAGCCACGCCCATCACCCTGTCACAGCCCATTCAGATCGCCTCTGTAAGTGACTGACACCTCTCTCCACCAATCAGGTTATAGATCAGACACACACCCCTCTGCTGCTGTAAAGTGTGCTGCTGTCAGGCCTCACGCTGAACACTGAGCAGACGCTGTAGAGGAGTGCAGTAACTCTGCTCTTCTGCGGGAGATTAAATGTGTGGAGTGAGCCGAGCATTCCTGCATATATGAGTGAGTTTGATAGATTCATGCACTAAAATGGGCGTCACAGTGGTGGCCGGGCGCTCCGGTTTCCCCACAGTCCAAACACATGCGCTATAGGGGAACTGATCAACCACACTGGCCGTAGTGTATGAATGAGTGTGTATGGGTGTTTCCCAGTACTGGGTTGCAGCTGGAAGGGAATCCACTGTGTAAAACGTAGTTGGCGGTTCATTCCGCTGTGGCCCTGATGAATAAAGGACTCAGCTGAAGGAAAATGAATGAATGATAGAAATAATTTTAAGGCTGTGAACCAAATATGATGCAGTGATGCAGTTTACACAGTGTATGATATAGTGTTGTTAATGTGTGTGTGTGTGTGTGTGTGTGTGTGTGTGTGTGTGTGTGTGTGTGTGTCTCCAGCCGCAGGGTCTGAATCTGCCGCAGTTTGTGTTGGTGCAGCCGGGTCACTCCATCAGTACGCAGATTCAGCCGCAGTTCATCCTGTCTCCGTCTGCTCAGGGTCCGACCGGTACGAGGGTCTCTCTCTCTCTCTCTCTCTCTCTCTCTCTCTCTCTCTCCTCTCTCCTCTCTCTCTCTCTCTCTCTCTCTCGGGTCACTCACGCTAACCCACTCTCTCTGTGCTGATCTCAGGTCTGCTGCAGCCGCAGAGTCTGCTGACGTCTCTACCTCAAAGCCAGACTACACAGACCAGCATCGCCCTCACTACACAGGTCTGACACACACACACACACACACACACACACACACACACACACACACACACACACACACACACACACACACACACACATACAATTATTACAAACAGGAATCATCAAACATGATCAAACAGAGCGAGTGTTCAGGCAGTTACTCGAGTTTCTTCATATCGATAACCAATCACTGATCAATAAGTCCATCAATCAGGGTTTCTTTAAATGCAGGAATGCTCATCTGAATTTAAATAAGTGTATATGCAGGAGTGTGTGTGTGTGTGTGTGTGTGTGTGTGCGCCCACCGCTGCAGTCTGTGTGCTGTAGATGGTCTTGATGGCGGATGCAGGAGACGCTGCGCTGCTGCTGGGTGGATTGATCCGCTTCTCCTTCTGCCGGCGGTTGCAGAACCACACACGCACCACCTCCTTCTCCATGCTGAGCTGATCCGCAATCAGTGTGATCTCCTCCGAGGACGGCTTCTGGCTCTGCTGCAGGTCACACACACACAGGCAGGCATCAAACACACAAATACACACTTTCATACCACAGGTCTGCTGAGTGCTGGATTCTGATTGGCTGATGGTCACACTCAGGTGTTTGGTTATTGTCAGATAAAGGCACAGATAAAGTAGTTCCGGCAGGTTTAGAGTGCTCCATATCAATCCGCTGAATGATTAGAGTTATTACACAACTACAACAGTCAGAAATCACATCACAACACACACACATGCACATACACAGACACAGACACACAC